TAAAACAATTTTCCTTAAAAACCAAAGCTATAAAAAACTACCCCAAATTTGCTAATTTTGATGAATCAGTGAAAGCTTTGGATTGGAGCCTCATCTGTGTATTTATAAAATAGCACTATACTGACAGAACAGACCGTATTTTCCGCAGTAGTATTTCCAGTTTAAGTTCACATATAGGTATGTTTCAGTTAAATGCATGAACTACTTTTCTTCATCAAAACCATGCATGAAAATACTCAATTGTAACTTCAGGAAATGTATTAATGCTCAGGGATAATGTTAATCTTGCTCACAAAAAGTGCTCACACTTAAGAATGCCATACACATTCATTACATCTTTTTTTGAATGCCTTTCTCTTCTTACTGCAGTTCCTTTGTGTCTCTTCACTGTTAGAACTTTAGCCCGTAACTCTGTCAGATTACGTAATCTCCCAAATGGTTTTGGAACAGAATTATTATGATCTGAAGACATAGAAGGGTTCCTACAAAATGGCTAAACTGACTGTCACCATTGCTACTGAAGATAAAATGACCAGATGTTCTCCATTGTAATATCCAGTCTTCAGTTACTTCTTAACCTTGAACTATTTTAACCACAGAACCACACAGAGTCTTGATCTTCAACTATTTGATGAGGAAAAGTGTATGAAAATAAAGTGACAGAAAATGTCTTTTAAAAAGCAAATTATACCACCAGAACATTTTGAAACAGATTTTTGGGATGCTTTATTTGGTTTAATGTTTTTGTATACAATCTGAAGCTGTTTGGGTATGGGAAGGGTGAATATAGGGTACAGTTTTCTCTCTTCATAAATAATTACATACAGCTGTCAGAATTACATCTAATATTTAACTGAGCTGTAAAATAAAATACTGTAATTGGAAAAGTGAAAAAGGGAAAGGCTAAGCTGCTTTCTAACTGATGTGGAAGAACTTTAAAGTTTTTGTCCTGTTATGGTTTAAACAGCAATTCATTATATGTAAAGGTAGTCTAAAACTCGAGAACATTTTTTCATGTGTGGTGTAACTACACTGAAACTGGATTTGTACAGTCATTTAAGAATTAAATAGCATCAAGAGTGGACAGTTATGATTTCAGAGGAAAACACGAAATACAAAAGGCACAATAATAGTATGAAATTTAGTTCTACTGGACTCCCTCAAGTTCCTCAGATTTTCACTTGCATGGAAAGTCTCTTAAACACTGCTTTTCCCCTACAGTGTAAAAATCAGACATGCTTTTTTGCAACCTTTCATTAATCAGAAGCTTTGAGTCTTTAGCACAGTTTGTTCTTATATTTCTTTACTGTATTTTTGTGGGTGTGGGAGCTGATAAGGCATAAAGATTGTAAAAACACCAGGTCTGCTTGGAACATAGTTGTTATATGCATAGGGAATAAAAGCTGGCTTTAATTAGAATTTCTGATGCAGTGGACTTGTTAGGTAGTGCACCAGCTAGACAATCTGCCAGCTCTTGGGAGTGCTAGTTGCTGCAGGGTAATCATTAATCTCCCAGAGTAGGTGCAAACATTAGGATTTATAGCAACTTTTCCTAGTACATTTGCATCTGCTTAAACACCTTTGGTAAAAATGATCCTTGTGTACAGTCTCCCAACATATGCTGTCTGTTTTCTTAAGAGTGTGTATTTTGGGCTTCTGTTCAAAGAAGCAACAAATGTCTTGGTACAGGATCTTGCTGGAATGTATTTTGCACATGCTGGAATAAGTTTGTAAGGTTAGCAGGCTAAGAGAATGAGAGTGGCAAAGAAACAGAGAGAGAGCAAGCAGTGTAACTGGCTGGAACTTCAGCACCTGAGCTCCACTAGATACTCTGAATTCTTGGCTTTTTATGAATATTGGTAGTGTTGTGTAGTTCCTGGTTCCTTCCATGGTTCCTAAAATATACAGAATTCTGGGTGGTGCATGAGACACGTGTTTATGCACATCACAAACACTTTCTTCTAGAGGTTGTTTCTGAGTTCTTATTTTGAGTTCGTATAGAAAGATCTGAAAACACAAAACTCCTAAAAAACAGGAAAATAATTATGAAATACTGTGAGTGAAAATGTTAAATAAAATCTTAAGTATAGAGATGTATTAATTCTTGGGAAAGGAGAGACTAATTTCACAAAGGAAAATGAAGTATTTGATTTGTTTTCCTGTATTGTAGAAACAAGCTTACCGTAGGTATCTTCTGCTTAACTTTTAACATGTTCTCTAATTCTGTCTTGTGAGGTTTGATACATTCAAAGTAGTGTAGTTGTACATTGGTAAAACTGATTTGTGAACCACTGCTGGTTATTATACAGTAATTCACTGAGGATAAGTTGAATCCTACAGGATTAGACAAATACAGAGTGAGAAAAGCAGTAAAAAATTAGAGGGAAATATTCCTAGCTTTGGCTGGGTTCTGATAAAACTTCTGAAGCTGTCCAACTAGAAGGCTTAGTCTACTCTGTGTTCCTGAGTTGTGGTCTGCTGCAGTCCCACAGTTCAAAACTGTCTTCAGATTACTGTGTCTGAAGTCAAGAATGTGGAATTCCTTACACAAGTGTAGAATGATATGTTGTTGGGTGGGGGATAAAAGTTCCATGTGAATACAGATCTAGGGAAACCTGGCAAGGCAGAGGTGATGGAGAAGAGTAATGGGGATCAACAAATGTTGAACCAAATATAAGAACTGAGTGTTTGGGGGAAGGAAGAAAAATAAGCTGGAATGTGTTAATAGTAATAACCTAGTTGGAATCTCAGTTTCAAGAATTACCTTGTCCAGGCATCCTACTTTAAGAAATGAACAAAGTGCAGGGCTGAAGAGAAGTACAAAAATAGAGTTTTAGAAGGAATGCCAATCCAAAAAAGTTCAAGGTGCTAATGCATACGGTTTGTAAAGAAAAGACTGGGGATTTAGCTACCTTGGAACAATTTATAAAGGCTCTTTAGAAGCAGAATATTCTGGCAGTTGCTGGAAAAGAAACTGGCATAACATTTAACACAATGTGTTGCAGTTTAAGTCAGCAATTTCTCAGCTACAAGCCATGATTCTAAATTGTGCTCATACAACATTAATATAGTTGCAAGCTCAAGAGTAATACACGTTGCTGCATTTTTTTCTTAGTATAATAAATTATTCTGCTTAACTTTTTAATCCAAATTATCTTATTTTAGGATTTGATTATTCTTTTAATCATGATTCCAGTTAAAATATTAGTCTGCTTTTTTCTTCTTGGGAGATGAATAATGTAATGATAGTCACCTTGTGTGGTTTAAAGTTGAGTGGTTTGAAGTTAGGACTGCAATATTTTAGTTTTGCTGGTGGAATTGGATAAATATTTGAAGATTTAGTGTGTAGGAGGCTTGGTTGTAGAGAAAAGCAAGTAAGATGCTGTTTATTTAAGGTAGTGGTATGATTTTGATACTAAGTATGAAATGTGTTGCAAAAGCATGTTTTAAAATAATATTTCAAGGCTGAACTTTATCACTTTTAGCTGGTTCATTGCTTTATCCAGTCTTAGTGAATCTTCTTTAAATTACTATGATTCATTTTATGTATGCATTCACAAGTTCCTTTAAGCTTTATTTTTTTTTCCCCTCAACAGTTGATTCAGACTTCACAATACATCTGTTTTTGCTAAATAAGTGGGGAAGTGTATCTTACATATCAGCAGTTAAGCTGTTGTGAAACAGTTTTTGTTAAAAAAACTTCACTTTGCTTATGTTCATAGTTTCTGCTGACTCCTAAGTAATTCCTGGTCTTTGCAGTTTTGTAAGGATTTTAACGATGTTGAGTTGTACTAAAACCCATTTTTAATTAGCTGAGGAAGTGAAAGCCAACACCTTCATTATAATTCCATTTAGTAGTTTTATTTATTAGGATTCATATTTTTTGTGTATTTTGTTTATCTAAATTATCCAGGCTTCTGTCTTTATTGCATTTTTTTGTTGTCTTATCTCCCTTGAATTCAATCTTTAGTCTGAAATTTCTAGGTTTATGCATCCTTTGAACCTGGTGATTAATCTTTGTACTGTAGTAGTTGCGAAGAGCTGCTCTATGAAGAACATGTTACCTTCGCTTAGTACTTCTTAATATATGTAATAATTTCCGGAATGTGTGATCGAAAGTAATGATATGGAAAAAAATCCTAGAAAATAACTAGGAAATAATGTTGTATAGGGCTAAATGGTAGTATTGGTGTGCTAGGTATAGGCAAGGGCTTGTCTGCTCATATTAAAGTTAGCCAACTAAACATGAATTACTTGCTCTATTTGTATGCGCAGTTGAGTAAAGCATAAAACGTACAAAAAATGACGTGCTTTTGTCACGTGTCTGTATATATATACATATTTTTTTTTATATATATACATATTTGTGGCAAAAAATGGGTAAATAAAGTAAAGAAAGAAGAGTTTCTGTAGATACAGGTGACCAGTCAGCAGTGTGCTGGCTAGATGAAGCTCAACAGAACAGCACTGAAGGGTGAAGATTATCTGCAGATTCCTTAGCTGTAGGCAGGGAGCAAATGAACAGTAGGCCTAGGGGCCTTTCTTGAAAGACCCATGCCATTAGGGGACTGTCAACCAATCAGTCCCACCATGTGGAAGTTGTGTGTGTCTCTGGTCACACAGCCAGAACCTGTTTCCATGGTGTGATGCACATTGTTGGCCTACCAGTGAGCATGTCTTATGATGTTAGTGGTGAGTTTGTGGTTTCTGTAAGAGCTCATGTGACTTAATGAAGAGGAAAGTAGGACTACCAGGGTCCTGGACTACCAGATGTTAAACTTTAAAAACTATTTCCACCTGAAACTTATACCCCTCAATGTAGGAGTCACATAGGTATCTATTGTATGAAAATCATACTTACCTCGTTCTTTAACCTTAGAAATTTATTGTATTGTTCTAAATTGGTGAGCACTTGACATCTTAGAGACAGAAATACATCTTGTTAAAATTTATTTTGTTTATTTGCTTTTATAGAAATAATATTTTATTTTTCCCACCAGTTTAACTTTGTTGGAAGAATCCTTGGGCCCAGAGGACTAACAGCTAAACAGCTTGAGGCAGAAACAGGATGCAAGATAATGGTCCGAGGGAAGGGCTCAATGAGGGACAAAAAGAAGGTAAGCTCTTGAAAGGTAGTGTAGTTTCAGATGCATAGTTTTATTTCCTAACTGAGGGGTAAGCTTATGTCTCTCTTATTTGTTGTGTTCTTACTATGTGCTTTTTCATTATTAAGTGTTTTTACAGACTTAGTAAATTACAAAGCCTAACCTAAAAATGTTAAATGTGTATGCTCTGTAATGGTGCAATTGGGAGTCTAATTAGCAATTATAGAGTATTATTCAATAATAACTAACTTCTAATTGTGTAATGATTCACAAGTTAAAGGTAAAAATTGAAGTGAAATGTATTTTTCTAAGGAAGAGCTGTTAACCTGAAGGGTGTTCTTAATAACTGTCTTGTACTGAAACACCAAAGTAGTGATTTATGCAAGTGGTATGGATAGGAAAAAATATCTACTATGTCTCTGGCAGTGAATTCTGTCCAAGTGAACCAAGATCCGCTGTTTCTGGATTTGTTTTTGTCACCGTTTGACTCAGGATTGACAATAATGCTCTTGATCCCCTCCCACCCAGGTAGGGAAGGAGAGAGAGAATGAGGAGAGAGATGCTCTGGATTGAAAACTAAACTAGACAGCTTTAATTAAACACTAATGATAAAAGAAAATATATACAGTTATAAACAAATGTGTTCAGGAATGTGCAAAAGCTTCTTGCCTTCCTCCACCCCCAGCAACTCCCACAGCAGTCTCCTTAGCTGGGAACAGTCCCGAAAAGTGCTGGAGCTGCCAGAGAAAGCAGAGTGATGAGGGTCAGGAGAGCTCGAGCCTAGGAGTCAACCCTGATGGATGGATGGAGTCCTCCCGGGACGCCTGCCATGGAGGGAAGAGAAGGGAGGAAGAAGCAGGAAGGAAGTTGTCTTCTGTGATTTCTGACCTTTCTCTGAGCTTATGTAGATATATGGAATGGAATATCTCTGGCCAGTTTTGCTGTCTGTCTAACTCAGCCTCCTACGGGGGGGTCATGGATCTCCCCATAGTGTCTGAGCCAGCAGAGCAAAGACGTGCCCTTGGAGTCCTTGCAGTAGCATGGACATTCCAGCATTTGTTATCAGTCTTAGCTGGAACATTTTGCTAGTTTAAAGAAAGTTCACTAAGGGGGAAAAAAAAAAAAAAATCAGCAAAAGGAAAAGTGGCTTCATCCTGGCTAAAACCAGGACAGTTTTGCAGTCAGGTTGTGCTGCAGTGTAATTAGGGCTGTTCCTTGCCCTGTACTGTAATATACATGCTCTGTCCATGTAAATAAGGAAATTGCACTTTTCAGGTTAGAGTCATCTTCAGTGTCATATTGACATTTAACATGTAAACGAGTACTACTGTTAGGAGGCTTTAAACTGTACATGGGCAAATAGAACTTGTTTCAATAAGAGAAAAGTATTTGATCTACTCATGAAAGCCACCACCTTTTAGCTGGTAGATTAATTAGACATTAAGACATTTTGTTGCATGTGTAAGAAAGTAAATCTTCACTATGTGGGATATACAAAAATTTAGTTTGCAATTAATGAATTCTCAAACTATCAATTTTGAAGACAAGTACTGATACCTTAGAAAGAAGTGAGTGCTTAAAAGTTTGTTCAGCTACCAAAAATGTTCTGTTTCTGTGTTGTCAGCAGGGTGGGTACTTAAACATCACCAGCCACTGTAGTATGTGTTCATGTACCATGTGTCTTGTTACTCTCAGCTGCCTGCTGGGATGAACACAATCTCTGCAGTCTTTTTTGGTCACTACCACATCTTCTGACCTGTCTGTTCAACATTCATGTTGGTCTTCGAGTTTGTGAAATGTCTGTTACAGAATCACAGAATGGTGGATGTTGGAAGGCACCTCAGGAGGTTCTGTTGTCTAACACCTCTCCTCAAACAGAGTCATCTAAAACAGGTTACCTGTGACCACATCCAGATGATCTTTTGCTAGGTGCCTATGACTTCCCACCACTGTGCTTCAGAACCTCTCCCCTCCTGTGGGGACTCATTTCACGAACAGGTTTACTGCCTTGGGAAGTGGTATATTGAGGCTGATTGCCCTCGGTCTCCCCAGTTTTCTTTTTTTTGGTAGCTATTCAAAGGAGAATAGGCAGTGTGAGTTACTGGAGTTTGAGAAAAAAATTAGAGAAGCTGAGACCTTCTGAGTATGAGTCACCAGGTTTTTCTGGAGTTTAGTAAGAAAAGGCAATCTGTCTTCAACAAGGACAAGTTTGGTATGCCAGATCAGCTAGAGCTTTGTGCACATTAAAAACTGATCCAGTGAGCACTTTAATGCCCATTATCTCTTCTAAGTAGTCTTGTTATTTTTGGAACACAGAGTACTTGACCATTGATGATTTCATGAGATAATACTGTGGTTAATGTTGAATGTTAAGTAGTTTAACAGACGTGAATGATATAATAATAAATATATTTTAATACCAAGTAGTATCATATTGATCGCAAACTAGTGTTGATAAAACCTGTTTTCACGCTATCCATTCCTAATTTTTCTGTAGCTCTTTTGCTCTCCTGAGGTGATTAGTATTAGTCAGTAGTTCTGCTTTTTTCAGACTGGACTTTTTATTGCTATACCATTGTTACTGCAAAGGAGGAATTTAATAATCATTGGTTATGATGCAGTTTGGGATGCATCTCTTAAGATGTTTCTTCTAAAAATAAAAAGTTTTGGAAGGTGTATTTAGCTGATGATCACAAACAGACTGAAATAAGAATGAGTGATGTTTTTTAGTTTAGTGAGCAAGTAAATTTCTTGCTATTGGCTTGTGTCTTTTCCTGATTAATTATACTTGCAGATTTACTCCTTAGTCTTGCAGTGCAAGATGACCTACTACCTTAGCAGTCACTGCCTTTTAATGATGACCATCTTTTATTTTCTGAAGGGACATCTTTGCAGGTTCTGCTTCAAAATGCTAATGCATTTTGAAGTATAAAAAACAGAAGTAATAGTGTTCTTTCATAGAATGTCAGGTTATATTGTTTTTTAAAACCCTTTCATATAGGATCAAGATTATTTAGAAAAGGGAGTATTCAAGGTTTTTCCAGTTTTTTGTTGGTTTTTTTTTTCAAATGAATTGCTTTGACATTTGGAGGAGAGAAGAAATGCAAGCTAATTTGTATCTATATTTTGTATGTTATTTCATAACCACCAGCCTGATGACCTAGTGCTAGTTATAAAAGAAACATTATTGGATGTGGGAAGGAGCTAATTACTTAACCAGTGTCAATCTGTAATGTGACAGCTACATGGTACTGAATGCCATTTTCTAGAGCAAACTGTCCATCTTGGTTTCTTATCTTGCTACTGGTTGCAGAATCCAACGGAAAATACATATACTGACATGCTAGAAAATAATACACCTGGATTTGGTGTGGGAAATTTTACTCTTCTGTGTGAGCCTACAAACGGAAGTAATGAATTAGAAATCTCTGTCAAATTGCCAAATCACTTAAACTAGAATAAAATCTTGAAACTTGTGGATAGATTTTCCCCAGAAAGCAAGGGAAATCCTCAAATTATATGTCTGAGGCTCATCTGGTAATCAGAACATCTCTCTAGGCAGCTTTAGACAAATTTAAAATCAAAACCTTAATTACTGAGAATATTGTGATTAGAGCCTGAAGGTACTTGAAGGAGATTATTGAGGAGGGAAGAGGGGTTGCAGACGTTCATCAAAAGCTAATGAATGTGTGACTTTATTAAGACCAAGGCATTTTTTGCTTAGTCTGAATGCACAGCTCATTAGGTTGTGAGGAAAACTTACCAGTTTTCAAACCAATCAAACAATACTGCTTAATAAAAAGGTAGACAGTTCAATGGTGGATAAGCAAAACATTGTTTTTTATCATCTCTCTAGTCTGACATGAATTCCATAAAACCAACATTGACACACCCATGGGAACTCAGCTCTGTGCTCTTGAACCATTTACTGCCGTTATCTCACTTAGGGGGTTATGCATCCTTAAAGACATCAGGCTGCTGGCTTGTGGCAGAGTTGGTCAGTGACGTGTTTTTTCCCCAAATTTTCCTACCTTTAGTCAAGAATCTTCTCTAGAACAGTGTGTAAGGAGATGGCATGGTTTGTTTTTCTTACATGAGGAAGCATCTTATTATGGCACACAGAATTATTTTTTTAAAATAGATTATTTCAAAGAGAAAGGCAGGCAGCATTTACATGCTGCATAGAATTGAAGTATTATATATCTGCAATGTAATACTATTCAGTCTCCTAAATATCATCAGATACACTTTGATTTCCAATGGAAGGTCTTAACAAACATTCAGTTTAGCTTACAGATGAAGTTACTAATGTTAAGTAATATGTACTTTGTGGTTGTCATGGTTTGACAAGCCAGGCTCAAACCAGGACAGAGGTGTGTTAAAAAAGCCCTATTACACTCAACTTTTGCATTCTGTGAAAAGTACTGTGTGTGAACAAATGATACAACTATGGTGCTGACACATGTTGAAATGGAATATACTTAGCATGTGGTAGCAAATAGTCAAGTTGTTCTGTGCTTCAGAATTAAATGTTGATTAGCCATCATTATTCTTGCCTTTTAGGAGTAAATTGCATGGCTCATGCCTGTTATTTCCTCTGAAATTTGCCTCCACACACAATATATCTGTATTGAGAAATCATGGCCATGGTTTTGAATGACAAAACCCCCTAAAATTCTGTAAGTAGTTGCAAAAGTGGGTTTTTGAGTATTTGTCAGTACCATTAGGAATAACAGAATAAAAAATAAAGTGATGGGGGACATCAGCAGATGAAAGTGAAAAGCAAGTCCAAATGCATAATACGTTAATAGAATTAGTCCTTTAAAAATAATAATAAAAGTTGTTATTATTATTGTTGTTGTTACTATTATTTAAAATTCTCTTTCTGTCAGTGCAAGTGGAGTTTCTGGAGGCCTGATGCTTATTTTTACATTTAGAACTAGCCATATCCATGATTAAGTGTATTATTTGTTAAAATTAATTGACATTGACTTAGTGGAATCTTGTTGACT